GAAGTCGAGCATTTTACAATAGAACACTTAACGAGGACCCATACCGCACACCCTCGGTCCCTACGCAGACTGATCCAAGTGGTCACCCACCCTCACACTGACCGCAGCTAGTGATACTTGACATCGGTGATCTGCGGGGAGCCGTGTCTTAACGATCAGTCCTCTGCGGGACATTTAGAGTAAAAAAAATATAGAAAGCAATAACTTACCTGAATTGCAACGTTAGATTTGGTAAATAGGTATAAATACAAAACTTCTAAATTAGCAGTTCGACTTAAGTTTGGTTCGTTCAAATCAACGGAAACAACGCATCAGATAGAATACCTCATTTGTCATTGTATAGTAATGGTTTATTTTCTCCATTCCAAAATATGTAAAATAGACATTTGTTTCCATGCATTCAAGCCCGGTGTGTGAAAAATTTTTATTTGATTTGAAAAAAAATATTTAAAATCTATGGTATATTATAAATCAGCTCACCAAACAATATTAAAATGAGTTATTACATTTTTTCATAACTCAAATTTTGCAAACCTGCGAATCAACGAAATAAACAGACATAAAACTATCGTTTGAGATTGAACGTAGCTCAAAAGTGTTTATAGGAAGTGTAACTTACATATATAAATGAGAGTTTGGAGGTCTTACAGTGTGTAAATTTAACATGAAATTCTCTTAGTGAACATGAATAAATTAAGTTATATGATTAGATATTTATTACTTACCTTTAAAATATGAACACAATATTTAAATCTCATACTGCGTTACACAAAACCTCATTCTAACTAGCATGTAAATTATCGTATTAATATTTATCAAACACAAGACAGAACTTCTAAAATCAGCGTTCTGAAATTTAACCAGGAAAATGGCTTAAGATACCCATGTAGAATATGTGAACCCGAATAATGACACTTATGAACAGCTCCATGCTACTTGGCACATGTTATGTCTGATATGTTAACTTGGCCTTCTATAGGTTCTTTAAAAGTTGTCAGCTAATAAAAAAATTAAAAAAGAAACTTGTGCCGCCTGAACCTAAGGCCTGAGAAACATCCCTGAGGATGATCCGAAGACATGCCATCACAATTTTGATCCTCTGCAGAGGGGATGACACCCCCGCTTCGGTAGTCCGACGATCTGCACGCTCGAAGTCGAGCACTTTACGGTAGAACAGTTTAACGAGGACCAATACCGCACACCCTCAATCCCTACGCAGACTGATCCAAGTGGTCACCCACCCGCACACTGACCGTAACCAGTGATGCTTGACTTCGGTGATCTGCTGGGAACTGTGTCTTAACAATCAGTCCACTGCGGGACGGCTACCAAAGCAGAGAAGTCAGCCACTCTGCACAGTACGATGGCATGTCTTCGGATCATCCTCAGCTATGTTTCCCAGACCGTCGCCAATAGCCCATTGTGCAGCGCTAGTGTGACGTAAATAAATACCATACCATACCATCTTAATACCTGAGAAAATATTTTACAACTCCAGTCTTTATTTATGAATGCTCTGTTACGCGACTGGAAAAATTATTTAAAATCGGCTATTTTTTAAAATCGACGTTTAACTACTCACTTTCCACCCCCGCTTCGGTAGTCCGACGATCACTAGAATAAATGAGATTGTGTTCTTGTTAATGTATTCGATAGAGGATAAAAATAATATTTCTTAAAAAATAAAAGGAACATTTAAAACATATGTTGCATTATATATTGCATTATTGATCTTGCCATACAATGTGCAAAGAAATATTTCTATTTGAACAATCCACACACTTATGAATATATTCAATGCCTCCACATCTGAGGTGTTGAGTCCTTTCGCCAAACGTGACGACGCTTAGAGGTGGCAGGTTCAATTCCAGGTAATTATATACCTTGCATTGACCATCCGTTGGGCACTCTGGGACCTGAGAGCCTGAGGTCCCAGAATGCAATGAGAACGATTGTAAGTTCGAGCCCCAAAATAACAAAATCTCAATACTTATAAGTTTAATACTTAGAAGTTTGACAAACTTTACAAATCTAAATCTATACCACGCGATAAGAATAATGGTTCCTGTGCATTACAAAAAAGAAAGAATAACAAAAATAAGAACGTGTCATCAAAATCTAAAAGATCACCATTGAGGAAGACATCAGCAATGAAGTTTAAAAAATAGCATCAGAGCAAAAGTTATATTGCTAGAAGAAATTTGAAGGTGATTTTAGTAATTGTCCTTCACTTTCAACCCCCCCCCCCACTTACCAATTTAGCTAAACATTGGAGCTGTACAATGGGCTACTGACAACGGTCTGCGACACATCCTTGAGGATGATCCGAAGGCATGTCCTCACAACTTTGATCCTCTGCAAAGGGAGTGAAATCTCACTTTGGAAGCCCGGCGAACTGCACGTGAAGTCGAACACTCAACAGTCGAACAGTTTAAAGTGACCCGATACCGCGCACCCTCAGTCCCTAAGCAGGCCGATCAAAGCACATTATTATATATATATATATATATATATATATGCATTTTCATACTTTTCTTTCAAAGCTAGAGTAACAATGAGATGGATAATCAAATCAGAAATATTCTTTAGAAATAACAAATTATGCTAGATTTTTAAGATATTTCAAAAAATGGTCTTAATGTATGAAATTGTTTTGTTTTCTTTGTTCAATACTTCTTAAAGACCTTTGTCATTGATTTGAATTTCCCCATANTATATATATATATGGGATTTTTGTTTTGGTTTTTTAACCTTCAAAATGGAGGACGATGCCGCGATGCGAATAAAATATAGATAGTCAAGTCAAAAGTTCAGATCCTTTAATATTAATTGAACTTGTTTTGCGTATTTCGCCATCTCTATGAAGTCGAGGTTTTAAATATAAATGCTTAAAAAATATTCAACCAATTCCTTTTTTAACTTCTGCATTTTGTCATAAAATTGCGCAGGTTAAAGTGGTGTAAAAATCCGTATACATACCTTGTAATTAAAAAACTTTTTTGACCATGACAAAAATAAAAAAAATTATTATAGAACAAAAATATTTTTTGCGTGAAATTATCTTTGGTTAAACAAATTTTATTACCATATACGAAAATAATTATTGAATACCTTAAATCAGTGCTCCCAAACCTTTTCACCGCCGCCTACCGGTCAACGTTTGATAATTTTTCCGCTGCCCGCTGAGGGGGATGATTGTTTATATTTTAGATTATTTTGATTTAATAATTTTTATTTAATTGTATTTAAACATGCCTTCAAAATAAAATGCAATTACATGCGTGGTATTGGTGTGGCATTAGGTGTGACATTTCTCAGCTCCTTGTAAACCTCTCGTCCATAGAAAGTCGTAGAAACCCTGAGAGAAATACACCACAGTAAATAAAATGGAAATAATTTAATATTCCTCGGGTAGCCAGGTATCATTTGATCCAAGGAATAGTACTGGTCGCGGTCCGGGGTTTGGAGCCTCCTAGAAGAGAGAAGACCTCAGCACGGATCAGCTTAGTAGTGCGACGTAATGAACATAAACTGCGCAGTGAGTAAAATATAAGAAAAATGTCACTGCGTTCGGACTACTAAGCTGAGCAGTGGAGGCAAATACGAAAGACGTCATTACGTTTGGACTACTAAAGGATCAAATTTCTTGTTTATGGTAACCCGTACTGAGGCCTTCTCTTTTCTGGGAGGTATTGGTTGGGACCACTGCCTTAAATAATTCCAGATATATCGTGAATTACGCACACAAAAAAGGGAACTTTGGGTCTATCTCTCCTGCTTTAAATATTTGGGACATTTTCCGAACTGTGGCTACCTCCTTAAGAATCGATTTTGGGTAGGGTTCAAAATTCAAGGTTACGGTCGTAACTCAGAATTGGGTCGGCTGATCAATGCAGCTGTTATAAAGTGAAGTATCCCGCAGTGGACTGATCGTTAAGACACGGTTCCCAGCAGATCACCGAAGGCAAGCATCACTGGTTACGGTCAGTGTGCGGGTGGGTGACCACTTGGATCAGTATGCGTAGGGGCCGAGGGTGAGCGGTATTGTTCCTCGTCAAACTGTTCTACCGTAAAATGCTCGACTTCACGTGCAGATCGTCGGGCTACCGAAGTGGGGGTGCCATCCCCTCTGCAGAGGATCAAAATTGGGCTGGCATATCTTCAGATCATCCTCAGGGATGCTTCCAAAACAGTCGCCAATAATCCATTGTGCAGCTCTAGTGCGACGTAAATGAACTACAACAACATATAAAGTAATGCAAAAATATATGCCTTAAAAAAGTGATTTAATTGGATACCTCTTAGCGAAGTCATGTGCGTGTGTCAAATGTGATTGGCTAATGGATTGACAAATGTCACGATTTACCTACGATGACGTCACTTGCAGGCATCCTGTCGTCTATAGCTTTATTTATAACAGAGGCTAATGTTAAACCAATGCGAAAAAATCCCTTTTCAAACATTCCTCCCGAACGGATTAATTAAAATTTTCAAAAGATTTTTTGAATCGAGAGGAAGGGGCTAAAATTACTCCTTGTAGTCCATGTTCAAATTTCAAACCCCTCGCACAAACGCTTCCAGAGTTATAAAAGACTAGGAGGCTTCGCCCCCTGCCCGCTGGCCCTATCAATTAAAAATGAAAACTGTTGCCAGCGCGAGAAAAGAAAAATCATCGGTTTTATTGATACTGTAGCGTATCTACCACTACAAAATTAAAACTACAATTCACTAGTATATAAGACATGTTAACTCGACTCTATGTCGGGGTACCTTTTCATAGATGACGGTTGACATGGTCAATTACTCCTCTTCCCACAGAAACATACGTACGTATTATCGTTTTAGATAATATATAGATAGATTCGACACAGCGTTCCAGCACAGCGGAACGGCACAAAAGAAAAGTTGGAAAAATAAAGAAAAGTTATTGCCATCAATACAAATAAACAACAAACAATCATATGAAAAGTTATTTATTCTCGCTTTTTTTGTCACTATACAAAACTTTAATAATTTATGTCAAATATTGGATATTTTTAAACAATATATTACTATCACCGAATAGATAAACACAATTTAGGTTTTTTTTTCATCGGTTAGTGTTGGTTGTATCACAATATTTAACTTTAGACAAAGAATGAATAATTATGTAAGGCTAATAAAAATCCTAGACACATTCAATCGAGTAAATTAAAGCACATTAGCAACATATATATATATCTCATACCCTTAGCTAAGGCATTTGCATAACATCATTTTCCACTTTTCATTCAATAACTAAAATATTTACAATAAAAGCAATAACAAATTACTAGATAAATAAGAGAAAGATATCTTTTGTACCTACAACTAAAAACAAGTTAAAAACAATAACAACAAACGGAAACAACTGTATCACAATCAGAATATATCGGTAGCTGATATAAATAGATACTTATCTTTTATAACAGGAGATATTCCGCACTCTCACGTGGTATTCCGCATTGTCATGTATGCAAGTTTCGCGCAGCGCAGTCATCACAAAAGACCCTCGTTTCTTTACAGAGCTGCAGACAAGAACGTGCGAAACTCCACGTCAGCGAGCGAAATATCTCCATTGACCAAATACAGGGTGTCCCACAATCACTGACATTGAAAATTTATAGAATGCTGATCAAAATTCTACATCCATGAGGGATTTCAAATTTTTATTTAAGCTAGGAAGAAAATAAAAGCTTTTTGAATGTCTAACTCACTATTGAGGAAGCCGGAATTAAAAAATATCAAAACCAGTTTGATTGCTGGAAAAATGTGAAGTTGTTTTCCACCTCCTCTCAACATCAACGAACAGTTTCTGTTTTTAATACCAGATTCTTCAATAGGTCATATTGAGCCTATTGGGACAGATTTTCATAACATTTTTAAAGTTAAAATATTATTTACTAGCCCCTCATGTGAATACAATTTCTCCTTAATATTTGATAGACTAAAAATATATATTAAGGGCAGTGATCACAGAATGGTCCGTATTTCTTCGAAAATGGCAAAGAAGCTTTTGAGCGCCATTTTTTTTCTCTCCAATATGGCAACAGACTATTATAATTGGAGATTCTCCTCTGACTTTTTAAAGAAAGTGTAGTCCATGTAAAAGAATAGTATCCATAAATATAAAGGCATTCATAGCATTATTCATAGTTAGAACCTTTATAATATTTTTTTCCCAATAGTAAGAGAGGCAACATCTCAAAATGTGACTCATTCTAATATTTTTCATACATAAAATATTATAACTATATCTCTGACAAAGAATTAGTAATTTTTAGTCATAGGAGAAACTTTTTTCTTTTTAAGATTAACTATGTAGAAACTGGCTCTTTGAACTGCATTTTTCCTGACATTCATATTTACAATTTTTTTAAACCTTTCTTCTTTTTTTCTGGAATTGTGATGGCATGTCTTCGGATCATCCTCCGGGATGTTTCCCAGACCGTCGCCAATAGCCCATTGTGCAGCTCTAGTGCGACGTAAATTAACAACAACATCTTTTTTTTTGGAAAAATATTGGACAAATTCCCTGAATTTTCCCTGTCTTGTTACCATGCTGTATTTACAATTATCTCTGCCAAAACATGGCAGAAGCTGCTTTTACATACAGATTTTCCCTGCTATAAGCCACTTTCTCATAGAATACCAAACAAGAAGCTCAATATATATATATATATACATATATGTGTGTGTGTGTGTGTGTGTGTAACATAAAAAGCTACAATTAATCTTTTTATGATTTTCCTTTTCGGCAAAACCTTTTCTTTTATTTTATTATTCTAATCGAAACACTTTGTCACACTTTTAAATTCACATTCTGTCCTTAAATCTATTTTCGGCTCAAGTATGCATTCATTAAAAGCAAAATATTTTTCCCTTTGCTTTTTGTGGGTATAGTGCGACCTATTTAATAAACCAATTACAATTACTAAGATTTCCCTTATTCCCTCAAACGAAGCATGGTAAGGATTCACTTTGCAAGATTTTCCTTAACTTATAATCGAGGAGCACAACTTTCCGTATCACTTTTATAGCTGCTCTCTGTCTAATAATTAATAAATAAAAAATTGTAACCTCCTTCCCTGCCCAAGACCTGTTTTAATCCTTCCACTCGGCAACAACGTTATTTATATATATATATATTTATTTATAAGCTTTTAACACAGAAAAGACCTCCATTAAAGCCTTACAGTAGCAATCACCACTTTTGAAACTTTTGAGTCACAGTACTGCTTTAAAACACTGCTGTAAGCAAAAGAATTACCAACTTTTAAAAAGAAAATAAACAAAAATCTTTAACTTGACTTATTATCTCAATGGAGGAATTCTAGTTAGCTAACCGAAGCATCGAGGCAATTAACCGAAACTGTCCCCGTGAGCTATTAGCAGCTTGCGATCAACAGATTGTCGATCGCTGGCTTCGAGAAATATTAAAATAATTAACATTTTGTGATGCTGCCTTCTAGAACTATCAGTAAAGTAGAATAATTGGGATTATGTTGCACCAGAAGCTAATATCACAAAACTCTTCACAGAGATTCTAGTCACAAGGATTTCAAATAAATTATGCAATAAATTAAAAGATATCTAGAATTAAAATATTATTATATCTACAACAAAAATATACACAAAGTTGACTATAAATAACTACTATTTCGATTGATTACTTCAAAGATAAACTTAAAAATAAGGAATGTACACACACAAAAAAAAGTTTGCATTAAAAATGAAAAATAACACAGAAGCACATTTGCTTGGATAAATATAATTTCGTTATAAACAAAAAAAAACAAATATTATTCAACATTAAACAGCACTCAAATGATTTCAGTGTCAAGTTAGCACCACTATATTTATACCTAATATTTTACATTAGAGTTGGGTACAGAATCAGTTATGTAAATCGAATCATTTTTAAAATGATTTAAATCAATTAGAGGGTTGTCGGCTGATTTAAACCACTTAAATTATCTCATTTGATGACTGGAGTTGATGCATTATATTCCAATTAATCAAATCAAGTTACTTTAATTGATTGATTGCAATTGCGAGAAACAAATTCAAATTCGTGATATGAATCAGTTTATTTGAATCTGTAGACTCATTTTAACACCGATATGAATCAGTTATTAAAACTTATTTATCCAGTTTGATACTGATTCCAAACACTGATTCCTTTTAAAATACAGATAGCTGTTTCGGATGCTCAAAGGGCAACCTTCATCAATGCAACAGTTTTTTTTTGTGCTCCTTAACGTTGTTTGCCTTAGTTTGTATTTTAGCACAAAGGTCGCCCACTTGTGTATTTACTGATTCCTTTGTCGATTTGAATTGGTTCATTAAATACATTTGTTGCTAATCAGTTGATTTCAATATTTATTGGATTTTTATTATAGAATGAATGATTTGAATCGATTCAAACAAAAAAAAATCTAAATTAGTGATAGGCAGAGGTTTATTTGCATCATTTCACTTCCATATTCTAACACTGATTAGATTTAAAATATTGATTATAATCAGTCGGTCAAAACAATTTATTTGTATCAGGCAATTACAACTTGTTTACACAGTTTGAAACTGATTTGAATTACGTAGCTGATAAAATTCATTTATTGATAGTCAGTTGTTTTGAGTGAGCGACATAAATCAACTGATGAAACAACCAATGGAACAGAATCTCAATATTTAAACCGATTTCTTAATTCAGGTAATTAATTTCAGGTAATTAAAGCATAACTACTAACCCATTTAGATTTGTTGATTCAGTTTCTTAATTCTTTAAACCTTGTGAATTGATTATTCAATAGATACAAATTACTTCTATGATTTGCTTTACCCAACTCTATTTCATACACAAAAAACTAATATAGGTACACTACAATAATGTTTTAATCATAAAATAAAAATCACTTAGAGGTAAAATATAAATCCTCTATTTCTTTGGAGTTACATGATAAAATGACAAAAAAGTACAAAGCAAAACAGAATAATGAAAACAAAGTTGAATATAAATGTAACAGCTATTACAATCATTGCAAGATAGCTAGAGCAATTTGTTCCATATTCATAATCATATTATTTGATCTGTGCACATCATGAAACAATTATAAAATTAAATATCCACTATTTTTACATAATTAAAATAAATGAACTCTTTTGCAAAAACTAAATATTAAAAAAAAAAAATTTTTAATTACTCATGAAAATATCAAACACAATGCACCAATCTTTTGTATGTTTGAATCAGGATTAAAATAATCAGGGAAAAAAGAGGTGGTAAAGCTATAAGTGTAACCAAATGTTAAGTGAACATTCCTCAAAAAGAAGAAATGCATTAGCACTAGCAGCACCACCCTACAAAAATGTTAACTTTGATAGGAGAGTGTCAAAGGTCAGCATAATGCGGACATTTATGTAAGCAAACATTGTCACGGACCACGATTTTCAAAAGAGGGAAGGGTCATAGTGACTAATTAGGAGGGACCTGAAATTAAAAGTAACATACACATATAAAATAACAATCAAATTTTCTCATACTCAAAACGAAAACATTTTTAAAAAATTTAAAAAACATGTTATTGTCGTTTTACTAGACTCAGGGTAAAGAAATGCCATGATCTTTTACGAAAACATTGCAATTGCTGATGAAATTAAAATTCAGTTAAAACTCATGGCATATATGCAGCACATGAGTAAATAAATGGTGCATTCAACTTCTGCAATAAAAAATTCTACTATTTGGTTTTCTTTTTTCCAAATGCATCCTTCTTGAATAAACTTTAGTTTCACTTTAAATGCTCTCATGTGAAATGCACAATTAGTCATATACAATCTGCATATCTTAATTTACAGCCCTAAAGAATGGTGACAAAAAAGGCTTTATCCCATTTCTAAAGCTAAAACGGATGTCCACTTTTCATTTGGGCAAACCTTATATATTTTTAGCACTATAATTGTGAACAGAATAAAAATAATTTGATACATTATATTGAAGACTGTTTATTTATAAAAAAAATCATATTGTATATAAAGTTGAGCTTATCTAAATTGTTTTATTAAAATGGTAGTAAAAGCTGAGACAAAATTATACCATTAGTTTTGTTGTAACTTTTTACCCCAAGATATGATTTAAAACTGTGAATGAAAACAAAAAAAATACTGTTTAATTTTAACAAATAAATGCTGAACAGTGCTAAAATGTTAAAAATTTGATTAATTTAGGCATTTAAGAAAAAGGCACCTAGTATATCCTAGTTTAATTGCTTAAACAAAAAGATGAAAAATTACAAATTTTCAACAGTATCAAAATTTAAGGAATAACAAAGATTCAAAATGATTTGAGATAATAGTGAAATCCAAATCATTCAGAGGCACTTTCTCTAAGTCCTTGCATATATAATAAATTTAAGGCTACTTTTAAATATTTAACTTATCAGGCAATGGTTCTCTCATACAATGTTTTTTAAATTATAATATAGGAAATAATATAGGAATTATAATATATTATAATTCCTATATTATAATTATAATAATTATAATATAATATAGGAATACACATGATTTTTTTTTCACTAGTAAAATATTTTCAATAAGCGAATCAAGACAAAATTAAATTAAGATACTGAAAATTACAATAAATGTACATACATGTTAAGAAATTAGTAAATTGCAATAGATATATTCTAAATTAATGGTTATAAGTATTATAGCAAAACATTCTAATATCTAAAAATTAAAAAGCACTTTTATACTAACAAAGTACTTGTAATTCACTTGCACATTATTATTTTGACAATTTTGCCATGTTGACAAGAAATAATTGGACAAAATTTAAAAGAAAAGACTCTTATTGCAATATTTTACAAGCTAATTTTTTAAAAAAATTTATGCATCCTTGGCCATTTAAGTTCCATGAAAACAAAAAAAGATTTTATAGTTAGCACACATAGAAGTACTCTAAAATGATGCAATATTAACTTTCCAGACTTTATGGCCAACAAATTTACCAGATGGAGATAAAGGTTTATAGTAAACTTACAACTTTGCATATTGTATTATGACTTTAATGTATTGAATAGAGTTTGGCCTTGTGTAAAGAGCCGAACAATATCAATTGATAAGTAATAGCCCAAGAAAAAAAATTTGTCCCGTATTTCAAGGCTAAAGGTAGTCAGTTCAAACACCTGTAAATGTGTTGCAAGTATTTAAGTTTTCATGTTTATTTAAAAGTTTATATGCCCCATTTTTAAAAACTAAACTTTGAACTACACATGTCCAAGTAATTTCTTGCCACCTAGCCTCATACAACACATTCAGATGCATATATTGTCATTTTTTTCTTTCCCCTCTTCCAGACAGGTGGTTTATAATGAGGATTAATTTAGTTTAATTTCTTATGAATGATAAATAAAATATTTGATATTACTATAATAACAAGAAGCAAACACAAGCACAGAGTTGTAATTAGGTGGAAAAACAAAGTTCCCGATCACAGTTACAGCTAAATTATTGTTAATTACAGCAAAATTTTTTAAAGCAGCGAATAAAACATTAATTTTTTTTCCTTTGAAATATGAACAAAATCTCATCTTTCAATTTATACTAATAGCATTACTCTATTAATATAATAAATAGCTACTATGGGAAATTGATACAATATTGTACACTCCTTTGAACCATTAAAAAAGGTAATTTTGAAAATATAATAATAATCAAGCACAAAAAAAATTGCAGTACTAAGTAGTTTTAGAACTTAAATTGTATCATACAATAATAAAAATATTCATATTTAGTATAGCAAAATCAAATTCGATAGAATAAATGAAAAGAATAGAAATTCAATAGAATAAAATGAAGAAAAAATATTGATGTTCATACACCCCTAAAATAATGTTCATGAACCCTCAAATTTTAATCCATGAAATTTTAAATTATTTGTTACAATTTGATTTTTTAGTTTAGATTTTTTTATCACTTTGTTATCAAATAATAAAATTACACAAAGAAAGAAAAAAAAACATTACATGCAGCTCCTAAGAACTTAGAAAGCTAATTGATTTTAAGAGAGTTTAAACAAAACAAAAAATGCGTTACAAAATAACAGAAATATGATGATAAATTACTATAAATAATTCAATGTACATTTTAAAACATTATAGATTGTAATGTTTAAATATTAGCGTTCTGTCAAAAAATAACAATAGTGCTTTCGTTGTCGATATGTTAGGTCATTATATAATTTTTTTTATTATTTATGAAACAAAATTAGTTTATCAAATAGGTTTTGTAACCTCGAACAAAACAATAAAAAAATTATTTTATTTAAATAATTTGACAAGCTAAAATAAACACATTTGACTAAACATATAAACAGATGTTATTTTTTTCTAATAACAGAATTAAACATTTCAAAGTATTATCAAATTATTATTAAAGTATTTCTAAAAGTATTTAAATATTTTCTGAAATTATTAACTATTAAATATGAAAGAAATATAATGGTACAACATCTATGATCCACTGTTGTTATATTAATGAAAACATTTTAAATAAAACTCTATAATAATGTTCTTAATAGTAAGTGCCTTTAATTTAATATTCTTTTTTAACAATTAGTAATTGAGAGATATTACTAGAGAGAGAGAGAAGAGAAAGAAGAGAGATACTACTACAAAAATTTCTGCAATTTAACAAAAATTCTTATGCAAAATTAAAAAAGAACTTGCTTAAAAAATTCAAAATCATACTTTTAAAAAAATTAAAAATCATACTTTGAATTAATCTGCAGATTAGATACTTAAGTGAAAAAACATGTTAAGTGACATTTAGAAAACACTCAAATTTACAATTTTAAAAACAGGTTAGAGTAGGCTCAAATATAGAACATTAATTTATTATACCAAGCCTTTATATGACTCCAAAAAATTTCTGTTTTATAAAACTTCTTCCTGAAGTGGCTCAACATTATAAAAATGATTCTCTCAAATTCATTTAAATGTTACAATTAAAATAAATAAGCTTTAAAACATATTAAGTCACATTTAGAAAACGTCCAATCTGAAAAGCAAGTCAGCAAACATAGAACATTTAATTTATTTTACTAAGCCTTTGAAATGTTACAATAAAAAAAATCCAGTTTGTAAGCAACTTCCTGGTATTTTCCTACTTTCTAAAATCGATTTTCCCAAAATCATTAAAACACTTAAAGTTGCATAATATTGGTTACGTAACATGTTAAGTGACATTTAAAAAACACTCAACATTAAAATTTTATAACATTCAAAGAGTTAGCTTTAAATACAGAACATTAACAATATTATCAAGTCTTTCAATAATAAAAGAGTATTCAATCAAAATAAAATCTTTTGTAAGCAGCTTCTTGACAATTCTTTGCTTAAATTTTTTTCTATCAAATTAATGAAATATTAAAATTGAATAATAATAATTTTTAAAAGATTTTACATGACAATTAAAAAACACTCTAATTTTCTAATTTAAAATAAAATTAAAGTCAGCTGTAAATGTGAAATATTCTTTTTTTTACCAAGTCATTAAATAAAAAGAGTATTTAATAATAATAAAAAAAATTGCTTGTAAACACCTCACTAGTGTTTCTCTACATTCTAAAGCAGTTTTTTTCAAATTCACTAAAATGTCACATAACTTGTTTTTTACCAAGCTTTTAAATAATTAGCCAATTTTCAGTACAAGCATGTTATGTTAAATAAAGTGCAGATAGATTTCAGACCAAAATTGAGGCTATTTAAATATAAAGTCCTCAAGGACATGTAAAGTAAATATAAATGAGTATCACAATTTCATGCATAAATGTTTTCACTTGACTTGTATATTCTCTCAATAAATAACACCTTTAAGAATGTTATAAGAATCAGAATTTTACCAATTGCACGTAAATGCTTGTTAGTGAGAAATATTCCAACATTATTATTTATCGATCTATACATTAGAAATCGCATAAAAATTTTTCAAGAATGCCAACTACTGAAGCTAAATCTCAGTAAGCAAAATAGGAATTTCCCTTTGCTCATAAAATTTCAAAAAGACAATCCTTAAAAAATAGATTTTTTGTTTATTATAAACATATTTGATTAATATGATTATATTTCGATCAAAATAGTAAGCTTAACTTAAGCTTTGTTGTAGAATAAATAGTAAATAAAAAAATAGTACATGGGGGTTAATTAAATTAAAATAAGAACAGGGTTCTTAGCCAAATTATTCAACAAAAAATAAGCATCTTTTAAGCACTTTTCAAGCACTTTAATAACTAGACAAGTCAGTTAAAGTATATAACAGGTGAAAAACTTCATACTTAACCTAATTTTTCGATGAAATAGCTAATGATAGACTGTTAAAGTAAAAAACAAACAATTTCAAAGTTATTTTATAAATTAACTGATCATAAATAGCTAAAATCTCTCAAAAAATATTTTTTATCTCTATTTGCGGATGATTAATTGATGAATAATAAGGAAAAGGAGATGATATAATTTATCATTGCTCATATTAATAGCTATTTATAAAAGCAAAAGAATTAAGCGTGCACACACACGTGATTACAAAGCAGCTATAAGCAGTTCAAAACTGACTAAATGCAGCTAAAACTGGGTCAAAGAACTTTTTAGTGCCGTATTTCATACTTTAACGATCAAGTAATCGTTATTCTATAGAATACTTAATTATTCTATGGAATAACGTATTTCACACTCTAAGTAGATATTTAAAAAAAAACTTTTGTACCTGAGATGGCATTCTTTTTAACTATTTATCGCCTGTGTGCAGAATGATTACAATTCAGTTTTATGTGCATAATGTAACAGCACTAATAAGGGAACACTTTGTAGGGTTTAATCTTTCTAATGCTAGATAATGTTTCTAATGATCGACAGATGGGAGAATATATAATCTGATTTCCCACTATTTTTAGGAAACTGAGAAAAAATTTAAAAAATTTAGATTTTTTTCCCATGGTTGCTAGTTAAGATTGCTGTCTGAAAAGAAATTTTCCTTAACCACTATGACCTGTTATGTTGAAAGTGTGTACGCAGCACAAAACTAATGCTAAAAAATAAATATATAAAACAGTGCTAGATACTATTTCTGATGCAAAAATTAAATAGAGAAACAAAAGAAAAGCAAGAAGGGACAATAAAGCACCTTAAGGATCTGAAACCCGTATTTTTCTTTAAAAAAAAAGATATTCCCGAAGGTATCTGTAGTCAGATTTAAACCCGTAATTCCTGAGGAAAATTTCTAGTTGTTGGCATTCTTGAATAATTGAAACAAATATATTTTAACTATCATTATTGATTATCGTTTATTTCATTCTGAGAATTTTGAGTTAGAAATGTCTTATGAAAGCTAGAAACTTCTGATTCACAAAGAGAATCTATGGACAGAGGTACAGACACTGACATATGAGGTGATCCAAGTTTACAGGGGGTGTGTTCTATTTGGTGGAGCAATCTCGTGTTGGGAGCCATAATGCGATCGTCGTACAGAGAAAATCTAGCATTTTTTATCTGATTAGAGCTAGTCGCAAAAGAAGCTTTATTGTTAACCTCAGAAGTTGAGTTATTTGGCTGACAAGCATTGATATTGTTCTCACTACTAGACGCTACTTTCGCAGGACTGGGGACTAAAGCGGCAACAGTACAATTGCTCACTCCTATATTAGCAATCGGTAAAGTATTTGGTCTTTTCATCTTGGGATTGGTATCGGAACAAAGCTGAGGGTGAGTCTGACTTTGAACAAACCCGTTCTGAAAGGGGAATTTTTTGCTATTGTCGGCTTCATCGTCGTTTTCTGCCGCATTGGCAGAGACAGTCTGGCTGTATATCTGCCTGTTAGCTACTGGGCGGACCACAGTTTGTGTCATGCTGTACTCGTCATTCATATCCATCACATATACTTCAGTATCCATACTTTGGGGTTTAGTGAGATTAGTTGCACCTAAAGGCTTTGGGACAGTATTCTGAACACTGGGTACTTTAGGTACAATCACAGTTGGAGGAATTTGACTCTTGGGAACTGTTCCAGCATCATCACTGTTTGATGCATTTCTAGGAAATTTAAATAAATTTTTAAAACCTTTTATAATGCCCTTATCGGATTTGCTACTTTTTTTAGACCTAGGATCAGCAATGCTTCCATTAGCCATAATAATTGAATGTCCATTTCCGGGGACATTCGGTTGCTTTGGCATAGTGCTAACCGTATGAACAGCATTCTGAACGTATGGTATAGGATTCACAGCCCTTGTGGACTGACTCAGTACATCATTTGGGACTAAGGCATTGCTTTCAGAGGCTTCACCAGGCTGTAAGGTATTGAACAAGTCCGTCTCAAAATTAAAACTGTTGGAGGAGTTGTTTCGAGTGCTGAATTTGTCAGCTCTTTCAACGAGTGAATTGCCACTGACTGTTATATTCTCTACAGGTTCCATCACTAAATTACGTTCTTGCGTTGGATTTTTACCCTGATAAGGTTGCAATGGTACATAAACTTTTAAATTTGAAGTAACATTATTATTATTAGTCAAATTTTTTAGATTGTTTGCATTGCTACTAGAATCACTTGGGCATGACCTAGGAGTCAATTCAGTAGGAGACATTGTAATGCTAGTTTCAGCAGTGTTCTCTGATATGCTGAAATCACCACTGTAACGACTATCGATGCCCCACGCGTTGGGGCTGAGAGCTTCCGAGTTGCTTCTAATCACAGGCATTTCAAATGTAGATCCTCTGAAACCACTCTGAGTTACATTTGTGGTAGTCCTAGTATCAAGAGAAGTGGCATTTACAGTTGGACTAACTCCTTGAATTGTTGTACCAGCTGAAAAGAGTTAAGCATTCATTTACTTAAAAAAAATGTAAATGTTATATACAACACAATATGCTATGCATGTAACATTAACGCATATTTTCACAATAAAAGAAAAGGAGCTTTTGAAAAAGTTTTTCATGGCATAAGCCTTTTTCCTCATAATTACCTCGAAAATTTCCTTGTCATCTGAATGTAGAATAAACAAACATCCATAGTAATCAAACTCATATCATTACACAAATGAGAAAATCTTTTTCTTTCTAAACTCACAAGTTTTCATACCAAATTCAAAATTACAAATGAAAAATTACCAATGAATGCGAAAAAATATTAAACTCAAAATTTTTACACAAATCTCAACGAAATACTATAGTAGAGCAGTTGGTGTGACAGAGTCGCCGTCAATTCAAATGAATAAAACTATATTTCATTTGCATATTTAAATAATTCAAGAATGCTTTACTGTCTTTTTTTTAATTTTTAGATAGCATATCGCAAAAACTAAAAACAAATATCAGGCAACTTAGAAAACATTTAATAGATAACAAAATTGAAAAGAATATAAATGCTTCAACATACTTGTTACCACCAAAAAAATTTGTAACACTAAGGAAACATAAAAGTTAAAATCAATTTTTGATTTACACCATTTAGATTTTCTTTGAGTAAGAAATATTTTTTGATAATTACATATATATAAAAACATTTACATTGTGTTTACTTTGCTGCCAATTTATAATTTTTCCAGGCCACATGAAAATTTTATGAAAAATAAATCAAAATAATTTTTAGTGCTTTTAATGAAAATTTGTAACAAAATGTTGAATTTTTTTCCAACTTGAAAAATATTAATATTATTCAAATTTTTCATGAAAAATTAATAGATTTTCTAAAATACTGCACGTTTTATATCTCAAATTGTTATTGGGTGGCAGCTTTGTATTTTACATATATCGTAAGATACTGCGAAATCGAATAAATAATTATCAGTTTATAAGAGAAATTAAATAAAAAGGATTAAAAACATATTTATAGAATTTCCTTCCCTGTCTATTTCCCTTCGACATTTGAGTTTACTCTGAAGAGGAATATCCTCTTAAGTGAACCGAACTAGTAACTAGCATTTGAAGAATTAAAAAATATAGAGATCAAAATATAAATAACAAAAGTAATTTTAATATATGCAATTTTGATATAACAATCGCTCTCAACATGACATGTAATAAGCTAAAAAAATTTTAACATTTTTAAAACTAAAAAATTATTATTATTTATTTAGACAATTTCAGTGGGACCATTGTTTTTTCTGTTTTTCAACAAAAAAACACAAGTAATAAACTCTAGCATTAATATAATATTTTAATAAAGCAAAGACATGTTTCTCCTAAATCTTTGCATTATCTACGTGACCAAATGCGAACACTCACGTCATTTTATTGGTAGATATCTCTGAAATTTCTGATATCTGATTTAATGCAGTTATTCCTAATGTACTAAATCATTTTCTGCAGGTGGTTTTATCTTATAATTTTCATGTCTCTGATGAATTAGTAAAAATGATTCATCAAACAGTATTCGTATTATGCAATTTTTAGTGATAAAAAATTTACTCTTAAAATTTTTACTTCATAAAAATGTACTAAAAGGAAATTTTCATCTCTGTTTTTTACAACCAATATTAGTTACAGAAATGAATGGAAGTAGTTGTAAAGCATTGAATTAGTGCATTTATATGCTTTTGATCAGAAAAAAAAGAGTGAGTTAAAATTAAGAGCAACAGTGTTATATGTATGAACAATTTTTAATAACTAAATTTATAAATAAGTTCTTCAACAACACAATAAACTTCTACATGTACTTCACAATTAATAATTTTTCAAAAATTGATGAAAATTTTTTTTAAAAATTTCAAATTTAAATTCGAAATATAAAAATGAAAGTTACCTTTATATCTATCCCACAAAACTGGAAGTTCATTAAGTCGTTCTTCGACACATAACGCTGTAAGTCTAGCTTCTGCATCTTGGTCCCAACAATCTTCGATTGTTTCTTTCAGGGCTCTAACTGCCTATGAATCAAATTTCTTTAATACACATTCTGAATACACATATATCAATGAAAAAAAGAACACATTATCATTTTTCAAATTAAAAAAATAAAGTCTACATCTACAATCTGAGTTACTCAAGTGTGATGCATAGTACTAACCAATTTATGATTCTACGTCATCACATTCAAGTGTTGGAATTAAAATAAAATGGTCTAGTACTTTATTATATCCATCATCATCATCATAGTTGGCCAGACAGCCCAATGTGAGCCAATGCCTTCCTCTGAATATTTCTCCATGCAGACTTCCGATATATCTATCGATTATCCGATTATTATTATATCCAATCCAAATCAATAATAGGTTAATCAATAATGTATAGTTTTATAGATATTAGCGATCATAACAATACAATTTAAATTCACTTCATTTAAATGTTGGTAACTTGGGTGTAAATCAAAATATCAGCTTTGATCTTTTTTTAACAAGAAAAAAATGAAATCGTACTCCGCACCTATGCAAAACTTATAAAAAAATTGTGTATGCAGATATGAATTCATAATTCTAAAATAATATAAAATTTTATTAAAGTTAGTAATTAAAGAAAAATTAAAGCTTTATTTCACATTTTTCTACTTAGTAATTAATTCAACAAATCTAAATAAAAGACATTATTACAAACATAAATTAAGGACATTTTTCCAATCTAAATAGGATATAGCTCTACAATAATAAACAAAAAATATGTTTTTTCTCATTTTACTTCCTAACTAAGTAGAGCTGTAAAAAAAAATCAATACAATTTTAGTCACAACATTTGTAAGGTTTACAATAATAATTTGTGTGGCAAACCTTTTTCAGAAGCTTAAGATAAGCCACAAGTGTCAATGTTGGAACATTTTCAAATCAGAAGAAATATAGAAAAATAAAATTAGGATTATGATGAATAGCATTTACACAACAATGTATAATTGAAGTATGCAGTTCTACACTAAGGTTGCAATTTTCTTCTTAAAAAAATTTTAAATATCTTTTTCTAAAATCCTAAAATCTTAATTTTTTTTTTTTATTCAGAAGATTTGAGAATCAAGAATTTTTACTATTGAAGATTAATATTCCAAAAAAAATAAAGAAAGAAAAATTATGACAACATTTACATAATGATGATTAAAATTTATGAATTTAGATAATATTTTTACAGTAAAAATTTTAAACTGAGGTTGCAATCCTACATTGTAAATAATTTCATTTTAATTCATCATATAAAAAAATTTAGTTTTAGAGAACTTTCAGACTTTTTGGGACATGTGGTGTCGAAATCTATTATTTAAAACTAAGGCTGATAACAACTTTTTTAAATTTCTAGAAATTTCAAAATGAAATAAACAGTAACATTATAATGAATAATTTAATTTAAATCAAAATTATAATCTTAAAATTTAAATACTAAATTTCTAGAACACTAAAACACTAAACTAAAATACAAAACAAACAAAAAATATGACTATTAAAATAAGTGACTTACAGGATTAGTATCTTTCCAAATGTCAGGGAACAGTGGCCTAGCTTTTAATTTTACAACAAGATGTTGTAACTGCTCCATGCTTGGATGTGTTCCTATTTCTGCTACAAATGGTGCTTTATACTCAGGTACATCAACCCCTAATCATACAAAATACTTCAGAATTAAAAAAAAATAACTAGTAGCAAAAATTTTAATAAAATAATATGCAATAATTGCTTTAAAATTATTAATTATTTTAATTGGTGTCAGTTCAATTTTCATACAATTAAACTTGAAAAAGCAGTATGTTTCAGGCTATTTAATAATAACTGAAAATAACAAAATTGAAAACAAATTGAATCTTAAGAATAAATAAATAGTTATAAATGAATAACTATCATGAAGCAGTAAAAAATCATACTCAAGTTTTTTTTCTTTCACATCAATCAGTTAACTTAGCTTAAAAAAATTTAATGTTGTACTACTTTAGTACAAACAATATAAATAAATTTTGGGCGAAATAAAAATTATAAAAATATAAATAAATCATAATTTTTGTACTCTAGATGAAAATATAACACCATTGAACACTAGTTAATGAAACTAATGACATAAATGCACAAATCTAGAATCACATTATGGGGGCAAACAGAAAATTTAATAGACTTAAAAGATACTTCAAAACTTTTTAAACAAACTGAATAGTTAGGCCCTTTATCTCTTATGGCTGTAAGAGTTTAATATTTACCAAAGCACCAGAGTTAACAGCAAAAACTAAAGAGAAAAATTTTTTAAAAAAATATACAGGGTGTATCAAAATCTGCAAACAAACAATTTTTAATATAAAACAATTAAAAATAAATAAACAAAATATGAAAAATAATAATAAAAGTAGGCTTTAACTAATAAAAAAAATTCATTGGTTTCACTTATTGGCACTTATTAAAATTTTTTGCAAAGGGCTACAAGTCTTAACTTCAATCTCATTTCCGCTCAAGAGAGATTGCTTTAGAGGGTCTAACATGATTTAATATGTACAGAATATGTGTGAATAAATAGTGATTTAATATGCATAGAGTGCCCAACAGATTTAATTACTATACATGATTTAATAAGTATAGAAATTGACAGACAAAATATTTTTAAAAAAAAGTATAACCTTGAAAGAGATCAGTACATCTAGTGGCAAGTTCCCATAGAATTAGCCCCAAAGAATAGACATCAATTTGCTTTAAAGAAGATTCACAGTCTCTTAAATTAACAGCACCTTCAAGAACTTCTGGAGCCATATACCTCACTGTTCCAACCTGCAATGTAAAAGTAACTGAAGAGTTACTAGGAGAGCAGGGTTGGGTTTTTGACGTCAAAAAGTGGTTTTTGACATGACAGGGGTATAATACTGGTTTAAACCGTCAAAAACCCGTCGAAAATGTCAAAAACTGAAGTTTGCCAAGAAAATATATTAACTTCAAAAATACCAACAGTTGCCATGCATTATATTGAAATTTAATTATACTATAGGTAATCAGCAGGTTTTAAAATAACGCTATTTATGGTCGAAGAAGAAATAACAGATTTAAAATCTCAGAAATTTATATTCAAATGCATGTGCAGAAAAATTTTGCACAAAAATTTTTTAAATATTTATATTTAAAAAAAAAAATTTTTTTCTTTTTGATACTTAAGAAAATTAAAAGTTTATTACTATGCATTTTTGACATATAAGGAACATATAACTAATATTTATAAGGAACTTACAAGTTATGTTGTATAAATACAAACTTGATACAAGTGTATGAAAAAAAATTTTAATGTTATACCGAATATCTTTATTATCCAGTATGTTAATTTGAATTTAAAAGTAGTTATATTTGTGAATAATGATAAATATAATTCATATTGTTTATTATATTTATTTATAATTATTACACTTATCATTTTAAAACAATTTTTATCTCTTAATTTTTTTTTCTCCACTTGTATTAAGAATACAAATAATGCATATCTTGAAAGCAAGAAGTAATTATTCAACAGCTGAATATTTAGATATTCAACAAAACTATATAGTATTCAGCAAAATGAAATTCACAAGTATTTGGATAAACTAAATTTTCAGCATAGTAAATGAATAGGCTGAATATACTGTAAATCGACACTAACTACTCTGTGTATTTAACAGAAAGCACTTAAATTTGTATTGTCTTATGTTAAAAAGATTATTAAGAAGATTTAAAAGAATATTAAAAAGATTTTTCTTTAAAAGAAGATGTCTAATGTACAAAACTGCTAATGTTTATCTTTAAAAATGTCTAATTTTTAGTATAATCTATACTATACACTAAATTTGGTTATAAATAAATTTCTTAATAATATCACTGCAGATTTTCAATAACACATGAAAATGAATACATAATATTACAAAAGATGTGAGTTTTCAAAAGTACAAGATTTTGGTTACTATTCAAAATATAAGTGTTTCTTCAAAATTTTAAATTTATTTTTTCTAGAACATATTTAGAAACACTATCCTTTAAAAAATATATAAATTTTATGTATTAATTAAATTTCACATATGAATATAGGTTTTTGACATTTTCGACATTTCTGACAGTGAGGTTTTTGATGTGACGGTTTAAACCATGGTTTAAACTGTCAAAAACTGTCACATGTCAAAAACCTGCCAACCCTGTAGGAGAGTAAAGAGTTACAGGTTAAATCTTAATCGTAGAGCAATTCATTAAAAAGAGATAAAAACTAAACAATAACACTGGTGTGTATTGTTTAGTTTTGAATTGATAGATCAATTCTTTTTTGGCACTTTTGTAATTCTACTAAGGGTAGATGCACAGTGCTCCAAATAAAAAGTTAAATTCCGTGAATAACTTTTGATCTAATGATCAGATCTTATCGTTCTTGGGTTTTTTGCACAATTTTAAATACATTTATCCAAAGATAATTCCATGCAATAAATAAGTTTTAACAATTATTTATTAATTTTCATTATTGTTTTTAAAAATAATGATAGAAAAAAATTTTTTTTGTAAGGAACACAAATTTTTATATCACCAGCAAAATATAAAATTTGACCAAAATCGGGTGAATAATTCTCAAAAATTAAATTTTAAATATACTTAAAAGAATTATTGTTAATTAATGTTATAATAATCAGTTTATTATCCAGAAAAAAAAAGATTGCTTGGTGAGCATGAAGGTTGGTGTATGAAATGAGCAGTAGCTTCATATTAGTTATTTGCAATGACTTAATTTTTCAAAACTATACCTTATTTACTTCAAATATAAAATGTGATTTTATAAATTCATTATTATTATTATTTTCTTTTTTAGATTTTAAAAATTGATGACGAAAACGCCTGAAAAACTCTATTTGTTTAACTTCTAAAATTTTAATACCCAGAATTATCTTTCAAATTGACAATAAATATACTTTGAAAAAATGCAACAGAATATAACAAAGACAAATAGTTACATAAAAAAAAATTCAACACTAAATAAAGCTATAAAAAAAAAGCTTAATTTACAATAAGAAAAGGGTGATTAAACTCACATCCAATAGAGATGTAGATTCTGCAATTTGTTCTTCCCCATTCAAATAATACTTAGAACCAGATATGCAAATAGCAAAACCAAAGTCACACACCATGCAAGTACCATCAGCTTTAATTAGAATATTTCTTGAAGTAAGATCTCGATGAGCAATGCACATTTTAACTTTATCTATAAAAAAAATATTAGAAATTAAACAATTTACAAAGTTTTTTTTTTTTTTACTGAAAATATGAAGGTACAAATTTCAATACTGTTCATTTGCTTTATATTTTCTTAATGCAATTCAGGCAGCTTGTTACATGTAGTTTAAAGTATACTAGACAATACTATAGTATAAGAAATTGCAATTAAATAAAATAAAGTTTAAATCCAAAATAGGGTTAAAATGAAAAGGTTATAGTAATGCCTAGCTTCAATTTTAAAACTATTTTCTCATGATGGGGTTGATTATATTAAATTCAAATTTTAATTTGGAACATGCTACATTTTTTAAAAATTTAAAATAATGTTATTATATATACCACAGGGCTGCCACTGGATGAAAACAAGAAAAATAGTTGCTTTAGTTGCCTCATATATGAAAAAAAGTCCCTTAAATAGTGTCCAAGATATATAAAATAGTTGCTAACATCATATCCTCTAACACAATTTTAATTATTTGTGCTGTAATAGTATAAAATTCAAATAATATGCAGTTAGATACTCAGAAATGACAATTACTTTCATACATAATTTTTTTTTAACCTTACTATAAAATAAAAATTTATATATAGCATATTCGTATAATGAACAAAATCTGCATTCTAAAAGTACTTAAATAATTTTGAACTATGAAAGGAAAATTATTATATCGGCACAATTATGAATGCAAAAGCAAGTAGCGCAAGTAGCGAAAATCGACATGGTAACGAAAAAATATCTCATTTTTCAAAAGGGAAAATTAAGCACTTTTATAAAACACCCAATGAAAAAAAGCACCTTTAAGGGCTTTCAAATAACGAAAATCGAAAATAAGCACTTCGAAAATCTTTCTGCAAAAACTCTAACGTTCTGCGACTATGTCGCTGTGATTCTGACTCTGGATTATTAATATTATCTAGAGTTAAACTCGGGTATCAACATTTTGCTGAAACAATAATCAAAATCAGAAGGAAAAACGTGTGTAAGCTTTGTGCGATTTTTTTTCCTCCACTCCAGCCAAACATGAATTGGCAAGCAGACACAGAAGCTGACATACCACATTCATACATAAATTCATATTCTACCACATTCTGCTGCTCACACCCCCTTTCAAAATGAATGAATTGAAAAACAGGTGCAGTTGCAATACTTGACCTTGAGTCATTATTCCGTTTTCTTGGCTGTCACTATGCTTTTTAAAGGAGGAATAGCAGAAATGAGATGATTTTTAAAAAATAAGAAAAATAGGAAATAACCGGAAAAAAAGGTAAAGTACCGAAATAATAGAAAAGTAGGAAAAATAAGAGGTCTACGGTCCCTGCAAACTTCAATATTCCAAATCGAACCGAACATCAAAACAAACCAATCCAAAATTGTAATTAACTGCTGGCCTATTATTCTTTTACACTACGCATAAAAACAGGGAGTTTTATTTTTATCTGCTACAGAACAGTTGAATTTGAAACTTGAATTTCCTTTCTGAGTTCTAATTTGCAGCTACTTAGCTTAGACATTAAAAAAAAAAATATTGCAATTTAATTCATTTCAATTTTATTTTGTTTATTTTTCATAACTGACACATTTCCAAATTTAATGCTCATCAAAAAAATTACGATCATAACTCGACAAAATGAATATCACCATGTACCTTTTTTTCTATTCTAAGTCGCTCTAAAAAAATTAACCCCACATTTTGTGTAATTAAGGACAATTTTTTTAATTTTGCTACTTGCTCAAATTAAAAGAGGGGGGAAAACGTAACCCTCAGAGATATTACATTAGCTTTCTGAAGCTAATTTAGCATTCACGCAGTGCTGCTAAACAGCAAGGAAGAATAAAGTTAGGATAAAACGAAAGCAAGGCAAAAAAAGCTGGGGCAGGGGGAAACTCATGAAGCTATTCTTGATAATAGTCGCTAATTGGCTTAAAAAAAGTCGCCGATTTTATGAAATTCATTGCAAATTAGTTGTTTTTACTCATATTTCTACTAAAATAGTCGCCATAGTAGCTATTGCTTTAAAATAGTCGTTTTAGTCGCCTTTTTAGTCTCCAATGGCAGCCCTGATACCATTATTTAAAAACTTCAAAAACTTTTTTAGTTAAATATTATTTTTAAATTGATAAAAAAAAAACATGTAGTTCACTTACAATTTAAAAGGAATCGAAGACCACATATTTATAAACAGTAAATGTTCAATTATCATAAAACAAATTACTTTATAAAAACATAACTAAAACTGTTAAAAAAAAAAACAAGCAAATTAATAATAACAGATAATGGAAAAATATAATACTATCGAAACTCAATAATAGAAAAAATAAGTATCAATCTATTATTTAGCTACAATTTTCCTTTAAAGTTATTCACAAGCCTTCCTTTAAAGCTAATAACCTACCTTTAAAGCTATTCACAGGCCTTCAATAATATTTACATTTTTAAACACAACTGTTCTCAAAATACGGGTAGGGATATCTAATACTTTGTTTTATAAAGCACATTAAAACAAAAATTTTTAAATCATTGACAACTATTTTTTAAAAGCATTACAAAAACATCATTAACAACAATTGTGGCACACAGAATAAAAACTGCAGATACAAACTGGCCTTGAATTTTTGGATAAATGTACGATAAATACTGTAGTAAAAAAAAAAAAAAATCAAATGAACATAAATCCTATTCCTTCAAAATTCATCTGGAAAAACTCATTCAATCCCATATGTCAAAATTTGAGTTTATTGGGATCCGCCATTTTTATTCCGAACGCTTCAATTAGGTCAGAGATTTTCAACCTGCAGTCATTGGGAAGTTTTTACGTTAAGTTTTCTGTGATATACTCATAACATAAAATATCAACATCACAACCGCTTATTTTATTTTAATGTTGGTATTGGCTTCACTTTCTTTTCAGTCAAAAGTTCATAAGATAATACAGGGCATCTGCTATATTTTAGATTTTCAAATTCATGACTTTCCATGACCAATTCCAAGGATTTTTCATGACTATACGAAGTTACTATTTTCTCCGACAAAAATACAATAGTAAATTTAAAAAAGCATCATAACAACATTAATTGATATGATAGGTGTAACCAAAACTGTTATACTCTGCATCTTCATATTTATAGATTTTTAATTTAAAAACAGAGAAAATAAAGATTTGAAGCAATAAAATAGCTTAAAAGTAATTTTTTTCTTCTTTTTTCCGCAGAATTATATTGTAAAGATACTTTTCTTGTTCAAAGGAAAGGAAAGAAATACTTCTGATTTTTCTGTTCTCATTTCAGAATAAAAATAATTCGCCAATCACTGCCTTGCTTCAGCTAGAATTTTAAATTGATAAAATAAAAAAAATAAATAATAAAAATTCTGAAATCACAGAAGTTTAAAAGATAATTTGCTGTAGCAGGGTTGCCACAATAAAAAATGAACACAAATAGTTGCTTTTAGTAGCCTCAAGCATGAAAATAGTTGCCTAAAACTATGAAAATAGTTGCCAGAACAGGAACAAAAATTTATCAAAAATAATAGCCAAATAACTAAAATTATAGCTTAATTGTCAAATACTATTATTAGGACTGGGTGATGTCAGAAATTTTAAATTGTGATACATCGTCAGTTAGACATCATGATGTAGTGATCTATCGCAATTTATTCAAAAATTACCTATGGGAAATCTTTAAATCAATCAAAAATAAATAAAAAGGAATAAATCTAGTACAAAAGAAAATATTAATTCTAAACATATTCTACTATGACATCAATGTCATTGCTTAACTCTTTCAATTAAATAAAGAAGTTAAAGTAAAAGCAAACCCAAGCTTTATTTTATTTTTCTCAAATTAAAAATGATGTAAGATTTATTGGTTTAAAAATAATAATACTGTAACAAATTATTTTACATACATGCATTAAAAATTAAAAGAAGAAAAAAAAACGAAAGTGGAAAACAAACCAAAGAAATGTTCACTTTAGAAAGAAAAAAAAAATTTATTTGTTGGAAAAAAAAACATGCTTTAGAAACATCATTAGACCCTTTTTTATTTACTTACTTAAAATAATAAAAAGTAGTATTAACTAATGGTCAAATTCTGTACTTAATAAATGTCAAAATATTTTTACTTATTTATTATTATTTTCATTTTTGAAAAAAAATCGACTAAAGATTTATTTGTTTAAAAATGATACTGACTATTGAACAAATTATAAAACAAACAAACAAGTATTGAAAGAATTTTAATAAGAATTTTAGAAAAATACTTTAAGTAATAATGTTAATTATTAAAAACATCAAAACATTACTAAACTTCTTATTTAATTTAAAAAAAAAATTGTTTTAACTAATTGCCTAATTCTTTTAAAACTTTGTTTTCATTTTCTCAACATAAAAGCAAATTAAATAAAGGTAAGCTTTGTTTTAATTTTCTTATAATTAAAAACGGCAGAGCATTTATTGGTTGAAAAACAATCAAATTATTATACTCAACTACATTTAATAAATTTAAAAAAACTAACTTTTTATAACAAAGTTAAATACAAAATACCCATATTAAACTGCGTCGCTTAAAATAAAAAACAATAACTGAAAAAAATCAATGATTTGATCTATTTAGTTCAGAACGAAAATTTAAGATAACAGCGATTGTGCAGCAATCGCAAAGTAACAGTAGGTGTACTAAAAATAATTGACAAGCATTAAACGCAGACAGAAAAAAAATGGTATGAAATGATGCAGAACGAAACGATTGCTGCAAAAGTCTCACTTAAAATAATTTGCAAGAAACCCAACAATTATTTCCAACGAAATAAAATGCACAACGATCGCAAAATGACTTAAGTCCCATTGTAAATAATCTTCAAAAAACACAAAATCCCAAAGACAAAAATGGACTTAAAGAAACTATGCATTGCGTTCTATATTACATCGCTGATCCTCGCACAAAACCAGGAGTTCTGATTCAATTCGTTCTTCGTCATTCAACATCACAAAACTAACATCACCTTAATAGCAAAACGCTATCTACATCTCTGCTGATACGCAAAATCAAAATCGTCTTCATTAGTGCGGTAACAGCGTTAGCCTAGTCAAGCCTAGTTAGCCTTGCATATTAAATCATTAAACCGCGATTGTAATCTAATTCCCGCTGCTTAAATTAGATTTCTGATGCATCGCCTAAAACGGAAGTCACTACATCGGCTTACTGATATATGCGTTAAATCGATATTTCACGATACATCGATTTATCGCCCAGTCCTGACTATGCTCCAATTAAAAAATAATAATTTTACAAATATAAAAGGTATACATATTAGAAAATAGGTACCTAAGTAAAAGTCGAATTACAATAAAATATGAATGAAATAGAAGGAAAAAACAATTAAAAATAACAAAACTGCCCCTCAGAGAGAGAACATATAACAAGTACTTTATTAAATCCAATGGAAATTTAAATTTCTGGCTCTTTGGACATAAATGATTGTATAAAAGTTTGCTTTATTTTATTAACGTTCTGAAAAGTAACGTTCATTTTTGCGAAAAAAAACTTCGCCAAGAGTAAAAAATGTCTCCTAATAGTCGCCTATTCTTGAAAATAGTTGCTTTTTTAGCCTTTTCAGGCAAAAAAAAAGTCGCCATAGTGGCCTAAGGCCGAAAATAGTAGCAAATAGTTGCATTTTAGTAGCCTGTGGCAACCCTGCTGTAGAAATGACTTTTTTTTTTTTTTTTTCATTTTTAGAAAGAACACAATTTTTAAAGAACATGATAAAAACATTTTATATGCTAATAAAATATGACTGTGAGTGGGAAGTTTGCTACAAATTCAGATATTTGGAACACCAAGAAATTGGGGGGAGGGGTAAATTCCAGTTTAATAATTAGATTCTTTGGTGACCTAAATTCCTGACTTTCCATTACCTTTTTTTAAAAAATAGTTAAAATCATGACATTTCATGACAAATTTTGTTCAATACCAAAATTCATGACTTTAAATGATTTTTCATGACTTTCCAGGTGGGCCGATAACCTGGATAAACCTTTCAAAAGTAAACTTTTCTAAAAATATCTTTTGTAAGTGGCTAAACGCAAAAATTTACAATTTACAGTGGTTAAAAGCAAAAAATTTTATTAAATATCTTTCAAAGAAATGATGGAATTTCATGTCCTTTAGTGGAGAAGACTCCTTTCAGAAACAAAATAAAGACTTTTTTTTTTTTTTNTTCAGGACACTTTTTTTTTTTTTTTTTTTTCCAATAGAGGATGAAAAAGCTACAATATTTTATATTACATTTTTTTTTAAATGTAAATATAGCAAAAGTTTACAAATAAACCCAGTGGTGTTCAGGAAAAAGGTGAGAATTTCTGAATTAAGATAATACAATTGCAAATGTAATATTATAAATGTAAAATTTTAAGATCTTTAAAAAATTACCATCTTTTCTAATCTCCATATGTAGATGAGCAAGTCCCTGTGTAATAGATTTAGCCATTTTCCAAAACCAGGTCCAATCAATAGTATTATTAATTAGATATTCTTGAAGGCAGCCATTAGGAGCATAAGATAAAACTAGTAAATATTCAGGTCTTTCATCTGGGCCAGTACGTTCCTCTGCCCCTAAATATTGTTAAAAGAAATTAATAAGCATAAGAAATTTCATAAAATAACATGTTATCACATCATAAAAATCGTGAAACTTATTAGCATAAGATGTTTATCTTACAATGTATATTTTAAGTTAAACATAAAATTTTTAAAATCAATCCACTGATACTGGATTTATCACATTTAAAACTTGGGTTTAAAATGGAAATGAAGTAAAGCAGAATAAGACACTGCAATATTTAGGAGTAAATTATTTCCAATATAATCCATAATATGGGAAGAAAAACATTGACTACACATGTAAAATCTGCTTTATTTGCAACTATGTAAGGTTTTTTTTCAACAATTAATAACTATAAGAAAAATATATAAATAATTTATTCTTATTGTTACTTAAAAATAGAAAAGGGTTCTGCCAAAATTTTGCAGTATAGAATATTGACAAGTCAGCATGACCGGGAGGTTGGAGTCGTCGTCCTGGAAAAACAGAGATGCAGTGTTCAATCCTCAGAACTCTAAGAAAACTTAAAACTTTCTAAAATAAGATTTTATTTATCATTTCTATATATTCTAGAAGTTTCTATAATGTTCGAATATATATGTTCTATTTCAGATCGCAACTTGTTCATTTCCTGTTCTGTTATTATTCCTATAAAAGACTGGGTATTTCAAGCCGAGACCCCAGTTACTTTGTTCACTGTACTTTGAAGGTGTTTAATAAATCTCTTCAACTTCCTAGACTAATTCCTATTTATTCTACGTGACAATATTGCTAACATAAAATATCCTGTGATAAAATTCAACAAGCATGTTATTAAGTATGGACAAATTATAATAGATAACAATTTCTCACTGACAGAGACTACATAAAAATACTAGTCAAAATGCTAATAAAATCTAAAAATTGTGTTAAGCACAGAATCTTCTACACACAAGATTCTATCATAAAACAAGACCACATATGAGCTGCAAAGAAGAAAATAATACAGCTAATCAGGAATTTACTGTATGTTCTATTTCAGATTGCAACTTGTTCAATTCCTTTTTTATAAGCCAATTACGAACCAGGGATACAGGCTGTCTGATCGCGCATATGAGTTTCAGGGAAAACTCAAGATTCGAGGAAATTTTTAGTCTCATTAAAAATTTTATTGTAAACTAAAAATGTCTCTTAACAAAATGTTGTTCTGCTAAAAAAAAATTTAAAAAATAAAAAATAAAAAAAAACACTGCCTTAAAAAGAATATTTTCTGCTATGTTAAATATAATACTGTTTTATAATAATAAAATGAAGAGTTTGTGTGTCTGTCTCTCTTATAACTGCAGAATCACTTATGCTAGCCACCTGAAATTTAGACAATGGGTGAAAGAACCAGTTATAATACCCCTGATCCCGAAAATTTAATTTATGTGGTTCAAGAGAGACCTTTGAAAAATGGAGTTTTTTTCGGTGGCTGCCATTGTTTCTATGCCAACTAAACATTGTTTTAAATTAAAACTGAAGATGATTAATTTATCAAATATTTTGAACGATAACATCATTAATGTTACCTAACTTATAGCTCTCATTAATTAAAAAGAGTTTATTGCAAGAGTCCTTTAATATTTAATTATATTCAATTCTTCAAATCAGATAAAATTAAGTGAAAATGAACTTTGTTGGACTATGTTACAGAATTAGTATTCCTAAATTTATCTGAAACTACTTGTTTTCTCTACTTATTTGTTCATAGTTATGCATTAAAAACATATTTCTATAAAACTCTTCTAAATACTTTAAAATCAATCATAAATAAAATAGGGTGAGCTGAAAGGCAAAACTGATGGAGATATTCTAGAAAGAAAAATTAATGGAGTAAAGATACTCATTTGTTTTTGGAAACCGTAATTTACCATACTATTATTGACGCCAACTATGCTTGAATAATTTTGGTAATAAAAACAAATTACTAATTGAAATAAAAAACTAGTTCTGAACTTAAAAACAAAATTTATGGAGAATGGCTATAGTACTATAAAAACTTAGAAAAATAGATTATTTAAGACAAAAATCCAGAATCAGTTATAGTTTATGATTCATTATCATCTTTGAAAAAGTTAGAGAGAGAGATAAGGAGATAATAAAAATATAGCTTAAAGCAAATGTGAGGTGATAGGATCTAATGTTCAACAATAAAGCCACATTATAAGAAGATGCATATGAAAGAAATGCACTTTGGAAAACAGTACAGAAAAGAAGTAATGTAAGCAAAAATGATACTAAAAAAACACTTATAAATAAGCCTTTTAAAAGAACTACAAGTATAGATTATTAGAAGTGAAGGTCAAAATCATACTAATAAAATATAAATTAGTTCCTAAAGTATAGGTAAAGATTAGCAGTATGTAAGCCAAAAACATAAGTAGTGAAACATTACTCAGCCACAGCCCTTTGGGAAAAATACACGGACAATACAAGTAGTAATGTATATTATAAACATACCAATTTAATAAAAATCAGCCTTTTTTTTGAAAACTACAAGTACAGATTAGTAGTAATGTATGTCAAAAACAAATAATAAATTGCTGATCATCCCTTTTGGAGAATAACAAGCATAGATTAGCAGTAAGCTAACCAGCCTGGCTGTGATGCCAATATTTGCGGGTTCGAATTCCACTCAGATCATGGACTGTTTGTCTTTATATCCTTTGTTGTTAGTTGTGTGAATGTGACCCACCCTATGCACGGGTCTAAGGCATGGGTAATCAGTGTTCACCCTAAGCGTTTTTAGAAGAACGACCTACCCTGTCAGCTCTTTGATGCATCCTCTTTACCCTTTTGGTAAAAATAACACCCTTGAAATCATAACTATCCCTTAGAAAAACTGCCATTTTAATCATATTCCATTTTTAAAAAATTAAATCACTGTTTAAATAATAATTACACACTGGTCAAATTATCTGTGTTTATAGGTTAAATTCTCTAATTACTATTACAAATATTTATTTTGTAAGTTTTATTCTCAACTGGTTAAATTCTTATAAGTTCCTGTTTTTTCAGGAGGGGGGGGGGGAGTATGTTAATGAATTTTTAAAGTGATTTTAAATCTTAAAACTATTTTTTAAATAAATATATTTTTTCAAAAGAAATGCGTCTTTATAAATGGTTATTGCCTAATAATTTTCAGTTAAAATTATAGATAAAAGCTTTCAAGTTGTTTATCAATTAATTATTTTTTTAATTTACTTTTTATGAAAAAAATTTTGTGGAGTGATATTTTTATATATATATATATATATAACCATCGCTGAACAGCCGACCCAATTTTTGGGATTACAACTACTAATGTTCAACTCCATAGCCTAGTAATTTTGAACCCAAACCAGAAGACAAGAGAACTCCTGGATCAAGTAGTGGGAGAAATTTTCCTTCGTAGAGGACTTTCTAATGGAACTAATCCGCATTTGCATTACATGGAAAAGAAGACCAAGAGAACCTCCCATGGTTAACCTGACGGTAAGGGGACTCAAACCCATGATCCGTCTACCACTGAGGATATTTCACATCAGCACTGTGGTCGGTGCAAGCTGGATGCGGAATTAGTAACCAGCCATCATCGGGATCGAACCCCGGTTCACCTCATTGAAAGGCGAACGCTCTATCTTCTGAGCCATCGCGGCTCTGTGTAGAGTGATTGTCTTTTAGAATGTTTTTAATTATTTTTTTGTAAACTACAAGGTAACGTCAAATGAGCAACAGCTCAGGCATCTTCCTTTTTCAGTGTCTGCCGTTATAAAAATAAAAAAAAAGATTAACAATAAAGAACGGAAAAGCACATGAAGAAAATTGACTTACCAATCAATTTAGGAAGGCACGTGTGATCCATAAAAGGAAGACAATATATGTAACGTTCGTTTAGATAGTTTTGGCGATGCTGAGAGGAGAATATTTTCACAGCAACAGACTGGTTGTAAAGAGTGCCACGAAAGACTCGGCCATATCGACCACTTCCAATACTCTCAGCGATTTTCAAGCTATCTATGTTGAAGGTGGGTGATGGTGGCTGGGGAGGCTCCATCAGACACACAGAATCTGGACTAGGTTTTTGTGAAGATGAACACATACGATAAGCACAATACAGTACAAATATGGTTACGATCACCAAAACTACAGAAATTGAGGCTATCACTGTAATCTGTGTATCATAAGATGCATGCTCTACAAGTCTCGGAGGTAAAACTAAAAACAAAAATAAAGCTAATTAAAAGGAGCTACATAGCATAAATACACATTTTTTAAAATAAAAAATATATAACATATTAACTGTAAGATTAAAAATTCCTTATCTGATGCATTAAACCTCATAACAAAATATGTAAAATAGTCTCTTTTGCCTTGTTTTTAAATTATGCCTTACAAAAGATATTAAGATCACAAACCCTTACTTATGTTATGCTTTGATAGTAAAAATTAATATCTTTAGAATAGGTTAGCAGAACATTAATAACTGCTTTCGCTTTTTCAATAAATGAAAGAAAATGTTTGGTTCGTCAACGAAACCAGTAAACTAAAATTAGTGAACCACTTATAAAACTTCAATAGTCTTAGATCACCTTTCCATGCAAAATAGTCAAATTTTAATGGACAATAAACTTACAATACAAGAAATAAACTTAAAATATTTTCTAAAATAGAAGCTGCAACAAGATTTTCGCAGCAGAATGTAACTTTTAAATCAGGCATATTTTGGAATTCAGTAAGAGCAACGTTAAATTTTTTTTTAAAATAAAATTTTAATGTGATAGAAAGGATTTATTTTTAAAAAAATTTGCTGTTTTTCGGAAGCCTATAAATCAAAACCACCTGCTGTGCATAATATTGAGGTTAAGTGCCTATTACTGGCTTATGGTGAGAAGAGGTGCAAAATGACAAACAAAAAGAAACGATTCTGCAGAAAGGATGACATTTAATAAAAAAACTGTTTTAAAGCTGATACAGCAATAATTCAGTCATGTGGAGAAAATAAAGAAAGAAGTTCTGCTTTGCATGCTAACTCCTTTTCTTTTAATACACATTTTGCATTTCACTTTTTAAATAAAAACCTACAGGAGCTGACATTGACAGGTATATATTTTTCTAATTATTTTCTACAGAAATAAATTTTTTAAAAAAAATCAAAATTATTCTTTTAGAATTGCATGTTAGTTGAAATTGCAAGCTCCGAACAAACAAACAAAAATCAGGAATTCTTTTTTAAAAATTGGCAGGAGTCAATGGTTTCCTATATGCAGAACAGTATACTAATTATATGTTACACAAAAAACATTTAACACATTATTATATTAATCAAGAAATAGGTAGGAATTTTTTTTAAAAAAATCCATATGGTGTTGCAATGGTAAAAAAGGAAAATAGATCTTTTTCTGCTCTCTCATTAAAAAAAAATAACGATAAATTTAAAAAATAATCTCATTAAAAAATTATGAATAAAATGAAATTACCAAGCTATAAAATGGACTTAATAATAAAAATTCAATTATCTCTAAAAAAAAGCATTCAATTAAATCTAAAGTTTTTGATTTTAAAAAAACAGGTAGATTTGGTTAAGTTGAAAAAACTCTGGAATTTTTTAAAAACTGGTCAAGTATGATTGATTTCAAACATTATAAATTATTTTTCTAAATGAAACTTAAGTCTTTAGGATATTTTTTCATAAGCAATTATAAAATGTATATTTTTTATTATAATGTGTATATTTCTCTTTAATTTCTAAGAAACAGTACAGCATATCTAAATTCAAATAACTATAAAAAAAGGCTTTGGAGGTAAAAATTCTAAATTGTATATTTTATTTTAAATGTTTTAACCAGTTAACCCAAAATATTACGGCTTTTCCCCCCATCAGATTCCCCTCTCCAAATATACAGACGAATTTTAAATTAGTACTATTTGCTAAAATATTAAAACATCAACAGACATAACCTTATAAGAAAAACAGTTACAAAAATATTTAATGCTTTATACTGTCAAATATTACTCTTTTTTTTTTTTTTCGGTGAGAGAGCAGCACAACCAATAGAGCATTTGACAACAAAAGTTTTGCATATTCTAAAAACTTTAGAATCAATAAAGATAAATTACAGTTAATAGCTAAAAGATTAATAAATTACAAATCTTATCTTATATTTGATGCCTAATTAATACTTAAATGCATAAATACACATAAATGAAAGTAATAAAAAAAGGTAAATATTAAAAATATATTATGTTGAAAAAATAAGTGACATTTGCAAATAATATTGAAACAGCTGTATGCCCTACATTTTATTTGTGCATATCTAATTGTTGAGCGATTCACAAAGAAAACACAAAGAAAAGACTCCTAATTACTAAAAGCAAGCAAGTTTGAAAATTTAAGCAAAAAAAAATTAACTAATCACGGACTCACTTGCTGGATCTTCTGCATAAAATATGCCCTCAGAAACATTAATGTTACACATATTACCAGCACAACAACAAAACTGAGTGTTACTACTATTCCCTGGCTTGCGGCCCTTATTAGAAACACAGCTATCTTTCATGCAGTCTGACTCAGATGCTCTCCAACATCCTATAAAAGGAAAGAACAATAATATTAAATAAAAATGCAAATATAAAGTATCCAAAAGCATTGAAAGAAAATTCATTTATTAGGAGAAAGTACACATTATGTTTTGCAAAATTTTGAAACTAAAATTATCGCTTGTGCTAAAGGCTTCTGAAGACAATGACTTAGTCATTTAAAAGGTCAATATAAGAAATTCATAGAAAACAAAATGATACATTTAAATATTTTAAAATTGTTATGTCAACACAACCATACATGGAAAATTTTTAACTTGTAATTCCTAACATTACAGCGAATTTATAAATAAATGTTTAAAAACATACAGAAAAAGATGTCAAATTGTTTGATTCTTAGGAATTAATTTTTTTTAAAAAATCTATCTTTATAATTAGCAAAGATCTGATGGGGGTCCATTGGTGATTCACATAATTAAGAACCTTATACTATAAAAAAAGAAAATATGAAATCTTATAGGTACCAAAAACAATAATCCACATTCTCATTTAATAAAGAATTCTGCACAAGAGTATTCATAGAAAATTAAATCATAAGATTAGAAAACAAATTGCATACAAATTTGCTAGATAGAAAACTTCAACGCAAAATTGATGAAGAGCTGGGCACTCGAAACATAATTGATAAAATATAGTGATAATGCATCATTAAATAATAGTAATTAAATTATTAAATTGTTTCTCTCAGAAATTGAATTTTAAGATTAGCAAAATAATTATTATTTATTAATTTTTAATTCTTGTTGTTGTTGTTGTTAATTTGTGTCACACTAGAGCTGCACAATGGGCTATTGGCGACGGTCTAGGAAACATCCCGGAGGATGATCCGAAGACATGCCATCACAATTTTGATCCTCTGCGGAGAGGATGGCACCCCCGCTTCGGTAGCCCGACGACCTGCGCGAAGTCGAGCATTTTACGGTAGCACAGTTTAACGAGGACCAAAACCGCACACCCTCGGTCCCTACGCAGACTGATCCAAGTGGTCACCCACTTGGACACGCACACTGACCGCACCCACCACCCTCACTGACCGCAGCCAGTGATGCTTGACTTCGGTGATCTGTTGGGAGCCGTGTCTTAACGATCAGTCCAGTGAGGGACAAATTTTAATTCTTATTTCCATATTTAGCAGATTCTTCAATTATCTATGGTTGTGTGNAAATATTTATTCATCTGTTTTTTGATAAAATAACAACAGGACATTAGAAAGTAGACCAATAACGTAGACCGAAAAACTATTTTTAAGAACAGAAAAAAAATTCCTATTTCCGTCTTTGAGTCAGTCTTGTTTCCGTCTTTCTTCCGTCCGCGGACATTTTCGAAAGACGGAAATCCGTCCTGGGGACGGAAGACTTGCACCCATGAAAGAAATATTAGTAACAAACATTATCTTGTATCAGAAGAGAAGATTTGTGATTTCCAAAAGGAAAGTTCCATTTCCAGCAGTTTGCCTAGACCTGTCAGCATTGCTAACTTAAGAATAAAAACTGGACATGGCTGCCTCATTAAACACCTGTACAGATTCAATTTGACGGACTCTTGAACTTGCCTTTTATGTAATGATAATGACCTGTGCGTAGACCATTAGTACTATTGTTCTGAACTTGGTCACTTTTCAGTAACTATTATTAAACTGCAATGAGCTATTACAAAAGTTTTTATAGGCCACAGGCCAAAATTTATTTTGGGGAGCCTTTCCATAGGACAAAGTCGTATCTTCAGATTTTGCAAGATATTGGGAAAAGCCATAATCAAAGCTTTAGTTAACACTTTGATTCTTGCAAAGTATATTTTCAAGAAGCAGATTTTCAAGAACATATTCAAATAGTCTTCTTCTTGTCTAGTGGTGACTGCTGTGGAAAACTAAACAAATTCCACTGGTTTATATTATTTATTCTATACATTACAGAATTTTCAACATTTAAAAAAAATTTTATAAGAAAACTTCATTCTTCAAAAGGATTTCCATCTGGCCAACAGCAATCTAGGACCAGAAAATTGTTCTTGTCTACATCCTCTTTCAGTATGGTCTTGTTAGGCTGCCCATAATAGACTGATGGAGGTCAAACCTATATCTGGTATAGGTTATAAAAATAAATAAACTAAAATAAAAATTGTATCCCAAATTAGCAGAACTTGTTGAAATAAAAGTAGCTATTACAAGCAATCCATCACATGATGGATAGCTTGTAATTGCTCCTTGTTGAAATAGTTACCTGTAACAGCTAAGCTACTAGTTGAAATAAAAAAAGCTATTACAACATTAGTGCAGACAACACTGAACTAAAATGGTAATTCTAATGAATGAGTCAATTACCTTGTGCAACAATGGCAGTAGCATTTTTGTTGCTACTATCATCCATCCAAAGTGCATAGCAGAACTTCGTGGTGCGGCATTTCTCAGTTGTATTTCCATCCAGTAATTCGCCTGTCTCCAAAACCTCGCTGTCATCATCATAAGCAGATTTGTCAGCCAAAGAAATCTTCACATAGGATTTATTACTGGAGTAGGCACAATACGTTTCTTGGCCAAGAACAAAATCTACAAAACAATATAAAGAATAAACAAAACTAGCTTCAATCTCAATGTTGCAAATTGTTACATAATATATATGTAAGTTCAATCATTTTTTTTTCATCATTAATTCAAAAAAAAAATGAAATTTAAAATATTTGAGTTTTTTTTTTCATAAATGAATGTTTGGGAATTTTAAGAATAATTTAATGGTAACAGGCTGGACACAAACACACAGAAAAAAAATTTCTAATTTCATCGAATTTCCCTATTTTATCAAAGTTTGTAACTGATGGCATAAAAATATTATTATTAATTTTTGAGCTCTGTCTTATTCTTTTCATATAAAACATATAAAAACGTTACATAAATTTTTTATTCTCAAAAACCTCTCATAACAGGAGTCACCATGGCCTTTACTTTCATTATATATGCATACATTTTGAAAATGAATATATTTATGAAAAAAAGTTCTAAAACATAAAAACTGAAAAAAAGAGCCTTTCCTACAAACTCAGTAGAAGTCATCAATTTCAGACACTTTCCTCTTTCAATAAGTTAGAATTTATCAGATACTGGTCTCGGAAAAAGCTAAAACCACATTTTTGATTACTTTTTTTAGGCAATATTAAATTTAAATTATGATTAAATTTATGCAATTTCATTAATGCAAAAAAGCTGTTAACGCTATTTTCCTTAATATGGTCACTCCTAAAAATTGATATTGGCTCTCAGGATTTTTAAACTTTCGCAGATCTACTTAAAAATTGTAAAAATTATTAAGTGCAAAAAAGTAATATTTTGTTCTAAATAAGTTTGATAAAAAAGTAACAGTTATAATTTTTTGGAATATTCTCATTATCGGTATTAATAATTTTTAAATTAAACATAGTTCCCTATTATTACACACATACCAAAAACTGCTCATTATTTAATCAATTGCTTATTGCTTTAAATCAATTTATTCTTTTAAAATAAATTATTATCAAGTCTGATATATTTTTATAAATGTATTCTTTAGAGTCGATTCTTTTTAAAGTCTGATTTTATTGATAATGAAGATTTCACCCAAAGAAATAATGAATGGGTAAATTATTATATTTCTAAAGAGACAAATAAACAATTAAAATTAGAGACTTAAAGTAAATAAGAGTAACGTTAAACTGTTAAATTATAATTTCCGATTGGCTATACGTAAAATAATTTGCTAGTAATAAGCATTCAATTATACCCATTTAGTTTAATATTTATTTAAATACTTTAGGTGTTTTTAAAATGTATTAAATATGTCGTTAGTTTTTACCAATATTAAAGAAAGACTTGTTATGCCCAAAGAAACAATATATTTTTTTTCTTTAATGTATTCTGATCTAAACTAATTTACTCTTCATTGGATATCTAACTGACAAATTGCCTCCATCTATTTAAAAGTTTACCTTGAGCAAAAATAACCCTGATTTTATTGATTCAGTGATTAGTTTGTAGTAATCTATATATATTTCTCTTACACGGCGACAAAAGAAAGCCTCATTACAACTCCCCGAATGGCAACGCTAGAAATCGACCAATGATTGCCGCTAAAAATGTCACATGCCAAATCTAGATGAGATGGCTCAACATATAGCGCTTTTAAAAACGGAAACTGAAATAACCAGAGAGAGCATAAGCTAGGCAGAAGTGAGTAGTCTTTGTCGATAGATCTCTATTTTAGTATTTTGTCGAAAGCGCTTTTTTTCACGAATTTATATATTACGAATTTATTTGACGATTTTTGATTTATATCACGAATTTATTTGTTTTACTAGAATTTATTTGTTTATGCAGGTTTTTCCATTGCAATTCACTTATTTCAATTTTTAATAGACTTAATTATAGCCAAAATTTTAACCTTTTTAAAGAGATATCAGTTTTAGAAATTTTATCTTAAGATTTTATACTATAGCACATTTCTAATAGGTTTAACGAATTACATGTCATTTATTTGAATTCAAATTTATTTTAATGACTTAGTATTTAATAAAAAGATGTAATTTTTTTTAAAAAAAAAGTTGTTATATGGATTTGAATGATTGTTTTGAATTCTTAGAATTTTGTGCATTTGCAATGTACCTAAGTTAGTAGCGAGCGAAGCTAGCTTGGTTTGCGAAGCAAACCATATAAGATTGCGTAGCAATTTTCGGGGGTTGGCGAGCGTTAGCGAGCAGGGGGCGCAGTCCACTAATTAAATAATAATTTTTGAAACATTTTAGTTAGAAATATGTATTATTTTTGCTATATCATTGTTTTTAAATAATATTAAGTACAGTTAATGTTAACAGAACAGATGATTTGGCTGATAAATATTTTTTTTAAAAATCGAAATAATCTGTTTTAGATTTTTCAAAAACAGATTTAAATCAAATAAATCTGATTGCTTTAATTTTTTTTTTTTAAAAATCATGAATTTCACCATCCCTGTGACTAATTAACATGAACAAATTATACTTACCTTGCGGCGCCCAAACTGAAAATGTTGTGCATTTTAACAACCAACCGAAAATTTTCTTTATTTCCCCATCTTTTGTGAAGAAATAATAAATTCCAACTCAAACTATAGTATTATTTTGCTTTCCAACAGAGATTAAATAAACAATTTCTCAAATGACTTAAACACGCCTTAAAATTCAACACAAGATAAACATTTAAAGTGCGCAGTTACGGAAAATTCTTTTCCAGAATGCTTAAGATATGCTAATTTAAATTTGCTGTCGCCGTAGTTTAAGTCATATATTAATCTGATTCAGAAGGTTTATTATGAAATCACACGATGATTATTTCCACTCCTTATTATTATTTATTAAAACTCTTTAAATCAAAAACAAACCTGTTTTCGTAAATATTTTATCAGTTCTCTTTGACATAATTTTTTTTTTTTTACGCATATAAAATAATTTAAGGTTGCAGAACTTTCGAATGTAAAAATGACAATTCACATTTTCTTCATTAAACTGATCTAATCAGAAAGATTTCGATTTTAAAAGTCGAAGTTCGTTTGAACAGAAATTTCGATAGATCAGCGTATCCCAATCTTTTAAGTAGTGCAGACTACCAATTTTATAAAATAAAACTTAGAAGCCCACTGCCTACTACATATACCATTAAAAAATATAGACTTATTATTTATACGTATGACAATATACGACTGGCATTAGACTCCAAAATTAATCTTGGCATTTGACTCATACATTTTTACTTCTTTTTATCAGTAGAATAGATGATTGCAAATATGTCATCGTATGTACTATCTCTTTTATGTAAATATTCTTTAAAATTAGAATGATTTTATACGATTTCTCCGATCTTCGGTACTGTAGTGCAACGGTTCCAAAATGGTGTTCTATGGAACCTAAGGGTTCCGTGGAAATGCCACAGGAGTTTCGTAAGTTGGGACTTCTTTTAACCAGAAATAATTTCATTAAACCTAAAATATGTTTGTATCCAACAATATATTTATGTTAAGGTTGGTTTTATGAATTTATTTATTTAAAATTACAATAAAAAATGGAAAATTTAAAAAAAAAAAAATTCCAATAACATTACATAGAATAAAATTGCTAAACGATATGCATTTACAGTTGATTGCCTCAGTATTTCTCATCTAACTTTGAAATTCAAAATAAAATAACCAAATTCAAATGTAAAGAAATATTTTTCTCAGATAAAAAAATATATATAGAATTCAACTCATTTTATTCAATTTCAACTGAAAAACTTGACTGTAAAAATGACACCAAATTGGCGATTTTTAAAAAAGTAAACTTTGAAACAACTTTTAAAATATTTACGTTATTTGTCTGTTCTAAATTACAGATAATTCTTTACGACGAGATTATACATACAGTTTAAAATCATCGCATTGCTTCAAGTGTAAAGCACTTAAAATACGTTTCTTTTTCGTTTTTTTCTTGCCAACAGAGCTTTGAAAAACAGTGTTAAAGGAATTAAGTACATCAAGAACAAAAAAGATGTACCTTTCCTTTAAAATAACATCAATGTAACACGAGTGTACATTCGCATTTGAAGGTGTAGAAAAAGTAATAAATTAGCTATTATTCATAATGCCTAGTTTAAATATTAGTAATACGTAATTCTTCGTAATGTTCGGCCACGGGAGCATTTTGATTAAGTCCATTGACGAACCTGCGAAAATTTGTTGTATCAATGAGATTCAAAAAATTCGTTTCGTTTGAACCTTTCTTCTTTACTAAGCTAACGTTAATAGAAGTTGCCAGGAATCGCGACTAACTTGACCTGAAAATAACCACCCGCCACACGAGAGTCAACAAAAAATAGTGGTGACTTGAATAAACAACCGGTCACTTTTTCCCTTATTTTTTCCTCTTAAATAATTTAATGATGAAAGTACATCAATGCAGAAAGAAAGTTACTTAATGTCAGTAAGTTTGACTAAATTTGTCACTTTTATATCATTTTAATTGTTGATTTAACTTTTTATATTGTTGAACGAATATATCTATATTGTTGAATGAATCTTTCTATATTGTTGAATGAATCTTTCTATTTTGTTGAATTAACTCTTGTTTTTATAGCCGAAGATTGTTTCTAATGTAGATATTTTAATTTAAAATTTTTAAGTATATAATTTAATCCAAGTAAAAAAAAATCATACGACGAAACTAAGAAAAACTACGAAACTACTACGGAAAAAGTAGCAACAATTTCCGACCACTAATTTCACTCTATGCTTACAAACACTCAATCTGTACTTTTTTTATTATTTTCCTTAGTGAAAAAGCTTATTTAGGAAAAAATAAATAAAAAAGTAATTACGTTATGAAAAAAGTATAGTAAATGAATTAGCTTAGAATACGTGGATTATAATCCAAAAATCTTAACTATCAGAAGACTATGGCGACTGTCAACATAAAACACGCGTTTTAAAGAAAACATTTGTTACGGAACTTTAAAAAAAAGAAAATATTTAAAGCACACAGAAACGCATCCAAACCTTGCCACAATTTTTGGCT